TTTTTTTCGTGAGCATTGCGCGGTATCGAACCGATTGACTTGTGTTTATGCGGATCGCATGCATTTTTTTGTGCAAATCAATAAACTCATGAGAATAGGCGAATGAATTTTAATGAAATTGGTTGAGTATCCCCAAGGACCACAAGCGTTCCCTACTTGACAATCCCAATCGCACACTGTCAACAACAGTGTTCAAGCTCAACAATCTTATGGATATCCATTTTGTGCATCTTAAACGTACATCTACCATCCTACTAATCTTGTTATATATTTGGATTCTGAATAACTTCTCATCCAGAACCAATTTTGGCGCTTGTGAATGTATGTGTGTATGGCTCATTTTAGAGTGCATGGTTATAATTCTGAAAGAGTTTCTATGTGCATAGGAGCATGAGAGAAGAATGAGTAGGATCTTTTGACGATTATTTTCTGAAGCTTGATAAAGAATCCTCGTGTGGTAGATGTTTTAAGTTCAATTCTGTGTTCAGTGTTATGATTCGATTCACTTGCACCTTAAATACGTTAGATCCGTTAGATTAGTTGATCGTTGGCTGGTCTTTTGAACGATTTCAGAAAGCTTTTCTTTCAGTTGTCAATATGGCTTCATCTTTCAGTTCTATTTGCTCTCTATAATCGTTGTGTTCTATTTGTTTTGCTTACGATCAATTAGAGCAGTTTCTTAAGTGGTCACCGTTTGTTAATAGTAGTGTAATGAAGAAAAACCTCAATAAAACGATAATTAATCATCCCGTCCCACAAAAAGTTTCTGTTTGTGGTTTCAGGTGTACTAGTATGACCATTGCACTCCTTTTTACATTCACCATTTGCGCGAATATGTCAATGAATTGAGATTTGCTTTAGCGGATTCTTTCAATTTGATTTTCTCGAATGCTTGAATTAGAGCTGTGAAATAGTCTTTTTTTGTTGACGTTTCAGCTCATTTGAGCATTGCAAACGAGCAGATTTCTTTGAGATTTGAATTGCGTTAGATTTAGATTAGATGTGCGATATTCACAAATGTCTAGTTTTGATGTGATTTCTATTGATCACATCTTTTGACGAGATGTCTTCATGCACGTAATAGACAGACTCTTTGATTGATAGTAGTTTATGTCGGTCTTACGGACTGAAATTACTATTTGCATTGCTCTGATCAAATAAGTTTTGNATGCACGTAATAGACAGACTCTTTGATTGATAGTAGTTTATGTCGGTCTTACGGACTGAAATTACTATTTGCATTGCTCTGATCAAAAAAGTTTTGTTGTTTTTCTAAGCGGAATTGACTAAATTATATTTTTAGTAAGTACTTTAGGCAAAATATTCCCGAAGTTACGACATCGAACAAGTATGTCGACATCGGATTCGCTGACGACAAGTTCGGTGGATGAGCACGAAATGCACGATTACGTGTTTCGTATCGCTCCAATTTCGGTACCAACTCTCGACAATATGCAAAAAACGTATAATGTCGACGAGATGGTTCTCGATGAAATCACAACGCCGTTGGAGTCACCAAAAAAGACATCTGAAACGTGAGTCGTGCCATTTTTGCTAAAATGCATCTGAATTAATTTAAAGATCTTCTCATGTCTTATTGATTCTAGAAATGAAGATGCGATTATGCGTTGCACTAGCGAGAGACGTACGGAGAGCGATAGCACTGTTGATCGACTCGTTAGGTCGTTTACTTTTTATTGTTACTATTGTTGGTATTGGTGTAATTTCATTTTTATCATTATCATTGCTATTGATGCAATTTATCATTATTATAATATCTCACTGATCTTCTCGCTTTTTGATGAGATTTTTAATCCTCTATTATAAACATTATCCTATGATTTCCTTTTTCCTTAATTCCCAATATCCTATTATCTTCAATCCTTAATCCTCTATTATTTCTGTTAATCTAGAATAATGTTTTAAAATCACCCAAATCATGGTAAAATTCCATTAACGATTTTACCTATCGCTCCATGCCGACGGTTTGATGAGACTTGAAAGAAGTTGAAACTTATGAATTGCAGACAAAATCTCAGCAGCGCGTGTACATCGATGAGAATGCAAATTTTAGCACGAGCATTTTATGGCTGTTCGTTTTTGTCATTATTATTTTCGTTTTTTATTTTGTTTGCGAATATCAATTTTTCATTTCACTTACTTACTGGATTATTCCGTGGATCTCACTGAAATATCTGGGAAATTCATCGTCGATTTCATCTTTCTGTGATTCCTGAAGTAAAAATCATTCGA